TCTAAAAGATTAAGACTTCGTTTTGTTAACGTAAAATAATACGAGAAACGTAGGTGTGATCTCAACTGCCCCGTGTGAATTATTAGCATGAATGGAGATTTTGTTAGAGGACGGACGTTGTGATGCGATTACTTATTGTAACTGTTCAAAACTAGTGAGACACGAACTACAAGCCTATCGAGTTATTATTTAAATAGAGGACTCTCTTTTTACTTGCTGCGGTTTTATTTTATCCCGATTATATTTGACGTATCTAATCGACAACCCAGGTTGGGTTGAACCCAGGTCGGGTTGTCGATTAGATTAATTTTTTTTCTTTTTTAATCTTTGTTCATAGAGGGTTTTACAAATGCCACCTGCCACACATTGTGGATCTTTTAATCTACACGTTCCTTAACCTAATCGTCTTCTTAACTAATTTATATAGCAGCTCCACCTCTTCAGAGCGACCACAATATTTGTGTTCGGACGGAACCTACCAGGGTGCGGTTATTTGCGGGGATTGGTTTTATTACATTTTATGCGGGTTCCAGTTCGTTTTGTCTGAACCGACAAGTGCCGCGTAGATTTTGTATACAAGTTTAGTTAGGTACTATTCTGACTTATCTTTTTTTTTGTTGTGACGTATTGTTTTTGTAATGGGGCTGAAATGTTACAATAATTTTCAAAGCCTCTATAGTCGTCACAAAATAAGAGGCACCTTTTGACACTTCTCATCGCGACGGAAATGGGATGTGGAAGAAACGTATAGGTAACCATATTAGACGATTCTCACGATCAATTTGAAATTCTGTTTGTCTGTGATCATTTAGATTACTTTTAGGGGCATTGGTATTCTGTTCTAGATAGAACAGATTAACATTTACTTTAGCAATATACAGTTGAATATAAATAATAAGTAAGTATTTTAAATTCTGGCAATAACAACCAGTAGCTCTTGTTGAAGTGTAGTTGCATTAACAGAGTTCACAAGGACAACCTGTAGTTAAATAATAAACATCTGACGAAAAACAAAAAAGACTTCATAGTTTACATTTTTAATCACTGTCATTGGAAGATGATCCAAAATAATCAGTTGAGCTAGTATTACCTGTATGTATAATATTGAAGATCGTTTTTGTGTTTCAGCTTGGGGTATTAATTAAATAATTATATTATAAAATATAATTATATTAATAATTCAGTTGGGGGTTAAGTAGCTCGCGTCCGTAGGCTGTACCCTCGAGACCCTATACGTGACCCTTGGGTGGTGCCAAATAAGATACAAATTCCGGTGGTAGACCTTGGTCGTGTCTGGTGACCACCCTCTGGGCGAAGCCTAGCCGCCAAACAGCTATGGCTGTCGTCCGGCTTGACGCCCAGAGTAGCCGCTCTAGAATGAAGGATCTGTACAGTTGCACTGATTTGGTTGATCTCGGGGCTCCCTTGTTGTTGCGCTGGGAACCTAGACGCGGAGCTCCGCTGGCCGACCGCAGGTAGTAGGGGGCCCAGCTGATTAGCTTCCAGTGAAAGGCTGCCCCGCCAACTCGCGAAAAATCCCGGGGTGCTCCATCGTGCCGGTTAGCGACCGGATAATACGTAACGTTCGGGCGTTCCCGCGCGCTCCAGTCTAGTTTCCCATCGGCGTACCATATAGGGTATGCGCCGCATGACTTTCAGAGTAGTGTCTCGTACAACTGCCTTCGCTCTCCCCATTCACTCTACCCCTAACACGAAAAGGTCAAGGAAATTGAGGAAGGCTAACAAACAAACAGCGGATGCACGTCCTTTCACTTAAAGTGCACCTCTCAAACATCCGAGGTCTGCACTCCAATCTCTCATCTGTCCACCACCATCTTGAGACTCACATGCTCTTCCTCACGGAGACCCAAATTAGATGTCCTTCCGACACTGCTGCATTTGCATTACCCAGGTTACATTCTGGAGCACAAATTTAAGCAGCGCGCTGGTACCTGCGTTTACGCTCGTGATGACATCTGTTCTAAACGTCTCCGTAACCTCGAAGACCCCGATCTCTCAGTAATGTGGGTTCTGGTGGACACTGGACTGGAATAAATAGCCTACGCCAGTGTGTACCGGTCGCTTTCTGGAGGCCCGGAGACGACTAGGCTGTTCAACTATCTCTGCAGCTCGGCGGAAACAAGTCCAACAACGGTGTCCTAAAGCGCAACATGTCTTTTTGGGGGACTAATGCCCATCACCAGGAATGGTTGTTCCCATACCAAAAAACCGACACTGGAAGAGAGGCGGATGTGTGTTTTATCGCTAGACCTCACCCAGCTGGCGAGTTGCGCTACCCGGATACCGGACGTTGACGACCACACAGCCAATTACCTGGATCTTCTGCTGACAACCGATCCAGACCGCTATCGGTCATATATAGTATCGATCTCGTCCCCACTACGGACATCCGATCATTGCCTGGTGAAATCTGTATCTGTCTACTCCCCACCCGATCTCAGTACGAGAGGTACTAGGAGGATGTGGCTACACAAGTCAGCAGATTGGGATGCGATGCGGCATTTCTTTGCATCTTATCCCTGGCGGCAGCTGTGCTTCTCTTCTGACGCTCCGACGTGCTGCGCGTCTGCCGTCTCTGAGATGATTATTCGGGCTATGGAATACTTTATTCCGTATTTCGAAGTCTCCTCCAGCGGCAAAGCTCGCCCTTGGTTTGCCGCTGAGTGTGCTTCTGCGGAAAGAGAAAGCCCAACTTCCAACTCCCGTCTTGACGCTACTTTGCAAACACCACCTACACTACCTCGCTGTGACTCGGAAATGCCCGAGATCACAATCCGTCAAAAAGAGGTGTGTATGTGTGAAAACTTTACGCAAATTAGACGTCAACAAAGTCAGCGGCCCTGACGGAATTCCAGCGATTGTCCTGCGGAACTGTGCACCCGAGTTGTCTCCGGTGTTGACTCGCCTGTATCGCCTCTCTATGAGTTCTGGACAAGTCCCGAAAACCTGGAAGTTTGCAAATGTACAGCCTGTACCTAAGAAAGGTAGTCATGCCGACCCATCTAATTATCGACCTATCGCAATCACCTCCGTACTCTGTAAGACTATGGAGCGCGTATTGAACAGTCGTCTCCTTGGATACCTCGAAGATAACGATCTTCTCAGTGATCGACAGTATGGTTTTCGCCGTGGTCGATCTAATGGGGATCTTCTTGCGTATGCCACACATTTAAACAAGCTTCCAGCTTACGGAATTCCTGTTGGCTTTCGCACATAGATAGGCGATTTTCTGAAGGATAGGTCAATCCGTGTAGTTGTAGATGGTTACTCGTCTTTCTCATGGTATAAATATATAAAAGTGTACCTCAGGGATCTGTCCTCTCCGCCACTCTATTTTTGCTGCATATCAACGACCTGCTGCTGATGCCCGGTATCTTTGGGTACGCAGACGACAGCACAGCGGTAGAGAGTTATGTGCCAGACGCCCGAGACAACAGCGAAGAGATCCGGCGAGACGCGATGGTAACCCGGTTGAACCTGAGTCTGAAAGCGGCTTCCGACTGAGGAGATGTTAACAGGGTCAGGTTTAATGCGGCTAAAACACAGGCATGTCTTTTCACATCAAAACGGAATCCCCTACAACTTACTTCGACTTTCCGAGATGTATCCGTGCCGATAAGGTACCACCTTGAGCTACTTGGTCTGGACTTATCATCCAACCTTAACTTTGGGCGATACATCGAGTGCTTGGCAAAAACTGCAGCCAGAAGACTAGGCATACTTTTCAAGGTCAGGCGGTACTTCACGCCTGAACAGCTTTTAAATCTGTGTAAAGCACAAGTTTAATCGTGTAGGGAGTACTGCTGCCACCTTTGGAACGGCTCTGCCTATTACCAGTTTGCTGCCTTGGACTCGGTGCAGCGAAAAGCAAAGATACTTATTAACAATAATTCTCTTGTGGAGTGGAAACTACAAATTTCTCGACCATCGCAGAAAAGTAGCCTGCTTGTCGGTTTTCTATCGAATACAAATCGGGGTGTGTGCGCAGGAGCTTTTCAATTTAGTTTCACCCTCACTGTTTCTCCTTCGGTCGACTAGAAGGTCTGGATCACTCCATTCTTGTCGTTGATATTCCACCTATTCGCGCTAAGCGCTTTGATTCCTCCTTTCTAATGCGTACGGCAAAGGAATGGAATGCTCTATCGGCATCTGTATTTCCCGAAAAGTAGAATTTGGGGCTACCCAAGGCTAGAGTGAATAGGCATTTTTTAGCCAAACGCCTCCCATCGTCGTTTAACATCAGGTGAGATAGTGGCCAAGCGGGTGTCTATTTAAAAAAAAAAAAAGAATTTTTATTAAGGTTTCCCCATCGAAAAATAAAAAAATGTATCAGTGTCGCAGCGAACGGGGTGTAAAGTTCGGTGAATAAAAAAGTTACTTTTAAAGGAATGTGACGCGCCGAGGTGGTTCTCCATCGAAAGGAGAGTAGCAATCTCACCGGCCTATTTCCACCGAAAACTGTCATTAAAAACCCGCGCGAACTCGCGCTGTTGTCGCGGATAGTGAAGGTTTAGTGCTGGTCAGTTCGTCTAATGGTAAACACGCGGCTGATGAACATGTCCCGTCAATTATTATTATTTACATATATTTTTTCAAATTATTTCATCTGATGTTCTTCCATTAACAGGATGAACATCAGATGAAATAATTTTTTTTTAATATCGAAACGTATGTACCCCACATTCTGGTGATTGATATTATTAACCATCGCGACTTCGCGCGAGAAATCCTGTTTCCGTTGCAGAGTGTAATACTCTATGTGGGCAGCAATATGGTTCAATATTACATTAACCAAATTTTAATTCTTGCCTCGTCCATCTTTATTCTAGATCATTTCCACCGAGAATCTCTGCTTCTAAACGGGACGAGCTTAAAATCTGTTGACGTCTATCGAGGGCAAAAACTATTTATAACTAAATATCTGTTGTAAATATTTAATATATATAGTTATATTTAAAATTTAATGATGTTATTAATTACAAAATGTTTGTTGCTCCAACTAGACGATTCGATTTGGCTTTGTATAAAATCGATCTGCTCGAAAATTGCATTGAAATAAATTGATACAAAAGGCGAGGTCGTATTTTGATCGTACGCACTTCATAAAAATGGAATCGTAACGTACATCCTCGGCAGTGAGAATCCACCGGTAGCGGAGAATCGAAATGTGGCCTTCGAAATTGCAATGTCCGTCCGGCCTCGCCGGCAGCCCCCCTCCGGCCGGGAATGAAACGCCGGTGTGGGTAAAGAAGAGTTTAATGCGAACAAGCGGAAGGGCGGGCGGGGCCTAGAAGCCGGGGTCCCAGCGCGTGGCCCGCCGGGCGTCGCGCAGGCGGAAGCACTGCAGCGTGTCGCCCGCGCGCAGCTCCACCGCGGCGTCGGCCAGCCGCAGGCCGCACTCGGTGCCGCTGGGGACCGTCGCCACCTCGGCCTTGAGGTGCTTCATGGACGCCAGCGGGCCTGCGGGCAGCGAGCGTCAGGCGGGGCGGGGCGGGGCGGGGCGGGGCGGGGCGGCGGCGGACTCACCCTCGTGCACCACGCGGCCGTCGCGCAGCAGGCGGAACCGCGCGTCCCGGTGCAGCGCGCCCTTGACGCAGCGCGCGCCGGCCACCGGCACCTTCCTCTTGCCCTCCGTCACCGTGAACCGCTGCAGCACCTTGGCCTCGCCTGCGCAGAGGCCGGGTCAGCGCGGGCCGGCGGAGCGGCGCCCGGCACCCGCCGCCCCGCCCGCGCACCCACCGAGCGCCTCCTCCTCGCGGGCCAGCGGCATCCGGGCGCTGATCTCGTCGCGGACGTCGTCCACCAGCCTGTAGATGACGTCGTGCCGCCGGACGGGCACGCCGCGGCGCCTGGCGTCCAGCGCCAGCTCGGGCGCGCAGTCGGCGTTGAACAGGAGCACGGTCGCCCCGAACGCCTCGGCGACCTGCGGGGACGCGCCGTCAAGGGTCTTTCCTCCGGCGGGGCCGGACGAGACTTTCCATCATATTTCCGCCGAAAATTGCCGTTAATAGCTCGCGCAGTGGTCGTGTTGCGGGCGGGGAACGTTCAGTGCCGTCCGGTCGGTGGACCGATAAGCGCCGCGCGGCTGAAATAGCGCGTCATGTTAACGGAAGAAGATCCGGATGAAGCCATCTTACCCCACATTATCGCGATAAATATTAATTTAACCGATTATATTCGCAATTTAACCCAAAACCGGTACAGTTTGGCATAAATGCGTGAAAGTAAAAAAAACTTCAGAAGCACATTAAAGCGGTGTCAGAAAAATGAGGAACAGATCAGAAGGGATATAATAGCAACGCATAGAGCCTCCAAGAACTTCGTCGAGTATTGGAAGTTGACCAATAAACTGAACGTTAAGCCGAGTTTGCCAAAAAAAAAAAAAAAAGGTTGCAACACTGAGAGAGACATAGCTAACATGTTTACGGACAAATTTCAAGTTTCTTCCCTGCTAACTATGCCACACAGCCCGCTTGATGCTGGAACCGAGAATGAGCGGGAGGTTTTGCATTTATGCACCTGAAGTGTGCGAGAGTGCATCTTCCCAGAATGTTAACCATGTTCTTCTCTCTGTGTATGAGGCAGAAATGCTGATGAAAACTATAGCGGTGCCAGTACTTAAACATAAAACGGAGGATATTACCAGTCATGAAAATTACAGTCCGATATCGCTGGCCACAATTGTTGCTAAGGTGTTGGATAGTCTGCTGGACAAATATTTGAACAAACAGTTCCGCTTTAGGTCAGGTCTTTCCACAGAAAGCGCCATATTATGTCTTAAGCAGACTGTCCGATACTACACGGAGAGACGCACACCGGTGTACGCCTGTTTTCTTGATCTCTCTAAAGCTCGAGAAGGCAGGCGTACACACGGACCTAATAAGTGTGCTAAAGTGCTGATACACGAACCAGCAAAATAATGTGAGGTGGGGAGGGGCTCTCTCGGATGCATACAAATTTGAGTGCGGGGGAGTACCTGTACGTAAACGGGCCGATCGTTGGACTCAGCAGTAAACCTGTCGGATTCAGCATCAGCGTAAATAACATTAGTTATGCCAAGATATGGTGCTCCTGGGTGCAACGGTGGGCTCAATTGCGTAGCTCCTTCGGTTTTGTGAGCAGTATACGAGTACTCACGGCCTTGTATACAATTGTGTCAAGAGTGAGTTTATGGTCTTTGGGATCCCCGGTAGAGTGATGTCTTATGAACCTAGAATTAATCTAAATGAGGTGGCACTAAAGAGGGTGAGCAGATTTAAATATCTAGGACATTACTTGACGGAGGATCTTAAAGACCAAACTGATATTGATCGGGAACGTAGGGCGTTGGCTGCCAGATGTAATATGTTGGCACATAGATTCGCCCGCGTTAGTGAGGAAGCCAAAATAACTTTATTCAAGGCGTATTGTCAATCCTTCTACACAGGTGGTCTGTGTGTCAACTATACGCAGAAGGCACTCTGCGCCCTGCGCGCTCAATATAATAACGGTTTCAGGATGCTGTTGGGACTACCGCGACATTCCAGCGTTTCGTCGATGTTTGCTCAAGCGGGAGTAGAAGACTTTTTTGCTGTGATGCGAAAAAAGACGGCGTCACTACTCTCTGGACTGCGTTCTAGTCCTAACAACATCCTGAAAACGTTTGCTTCGTCATTTCGTCCAGGTTCTGTTGAGGTGATGGGGTAGTCGGCGGCGCCTCGAGCGAAATAATGTGTGTTTTTATGTTTTATCTCTGTTTACTAACAATAGTCATAAGTTTAAAAATGTATGTATTTACTGACAAGTGGGTCTTGAATGCCAAATAAATGATTGATTTACTATTATTATTATTAATGACCGTCGCGAGCTCGCGCGAGATACATACCGTGATACGTATATTATATAATAATATATATTACTCTATGTAGGCAGCAACACGGTTTAATATACCGTCAACAAATATATCAATTCTCCCCTTACCGCTCCAGATATTTCCACCGTAGATGCGCTGGGAGATAATTGAAATTTTGTCATACAAATTCCACTCGTCTCGTCTTGCCGGTAGAAAAACACCTTTACGGAATCGATGTCGGTAATAAAAAACGCGGAACTACCTCTATGTCGTTGGGCGTGACCGGGCCCACGCCGTAGTGCACCAGATCGAGCCTGACCGTGTCGTGTTCGTCGTACGTTTCTAGGATATCCAGAATTGCCTCCACCGATCCGTCGACGTCGCCTGTAAATTGAAATTGTAATTGAGTACAAAATAAACCCGATACTGGTAGGACCCGTCTTGCGCTCCGGCCGCCGTCTTCCCCGTGGACCTGTTCCGGAATTTATTTATTTATTTATTTATTTATTAGGAAGACCAACAGCTTAAAACTAAATTAAGTAATAATAATAACGACATAAAGCCAATTACAGGTCCTCACAAATAACAATCGATTTTCAAGTTCTAGCACACAATTTTCAAGAAAGAAAAAATAATCAATTACAAACATAGAGAAAAATTAAAAAGTAAACATCAACAGGAGTCACAAAAATGCCTCACCAATGCATTCCTCGCCGAAGTCACACTTGTATTAAATAAATCTAGGTTAATGATTTTACACAATTCATTAAAGTTACTGCTGGCACGCCACATAAACTCGTCCTGTCTATAATTGGTATGAGTTGGTGGTAGATACAATAGCGAATTATTTCTTAATGACTTACAGGGGACTCTCAGCAATAACTGAGATAGCAGTTCTGGACAGTCAATGGAGCTTGATGCTATTTTTAATAGTAACATCAAGTCACCTATCTCACGACGTAATACTAGAGGTAACAGATGGTGCTTCTTACAAAGGGAGTAATAGCTAAAAGTATTGTTAGAGTCATTTGTACGGTAACAAAGAAATATATATATAATAAAATAAAATAAATTTTTTTTGAATATTTTCTAAACGCGAAATATAAGTATCGTATCGTGGATTCCAAATTTGGCTGGCATATTCCAAGATGCTGCGGACAAATGAGCAGTACAATATCTTGAGTTTTCACTTGGGTAAAATCCTTTGCACAGCGCATGACAAATCCGAGGGACCTGGAGGCTTTAGCAACCATGCTATCTATGTGTGAATCAAATAATAATTTAGAGTCGTGAATTACTCCTAGATCCCGTACAATTTGTAACAGTCACCGTACTGGAGTAAGAAGAAACGCAACAAAAAATAGAACATTTTGAGGTAATCTTAACTTTAACCGAAAAAAACCGAAACCGCGACGACTTTGTGGTTCACCGAAAGATGGGGAGAAATGACACGGCTTTTGATCTCAAAAGCACGGATCCTCTTTGAGTTACTGATCCAACGGCTCATAGAAAATAATAAAGAGTGCACCAAGTAGTACTAATTCTAAGGCAATTATATTATACTTGTAAACAATAGATGCGCAATATGCGGCTCCAAACGGTAGCTACGGCACTGTTGTCTGCAGAAAACAGTGACATCAGTCACCTTCTTGAATTCGAATGAATCACCGAGACGTGACAAAAAAGTATTAAAAATGGTGAAATGGATAATTAAAATTTGCAATTCCCGATGAATTCTCGGTTCGAAAATGATCATAAAACTACTGGCGTCACTTTTCACATGTAAGTTTGTTTTGTTGGTTTAGATTATCGTAAACAAAAATAAAAATGAAATAAATTTATTTTAAACATCAATGTTGCCAGTAAATCAATTTTCATTTGCCCATAATATTGAGAGTTAATGACTTCGTATTAAAAAGTGATAAAATGATATTTTGTTTGTAACCCAGAATACCTAAAGATCATACGCGCAGGGCGGAGTGGATAACAATTATACGACTTTTACGGAAAGATATTTTGAGTAACAAGACACGAGACAATTGTACCACAAGCTAATGCTGCGCAGTGACGTTTAATAATTTGCAATAAAGTATACTTAAATGTTTTGTGTATCAAGTAATTTGTAATACCACCCCTTTATAAATCTGTGTTCGTTAAATAGAAACAGATATTTCGTCGGAAGACAGAATTTTCATCAACTTTATACAATAAAAAAATACTAGAAAAGCAATGGATTCCTTAGATTAGAAAGTCATCTTTTCATATTTACAATTTATTTGAAAGAACTATGAAATCCAAGCGTAGATTGTTAAATTCATACATTTTTACGTATATTTCACGCACTCGTTCATTCTATTTCTGATTTCTATCTCCACAACACCACAACAAAGAGACATCTTTCCACCACGCACCAGAGACGCTACAAGAAATTAGAAAAAAATATTTCTAAATCGGTAACACTGGTCGTATCCTTTAATGCACTATGACTATTTCATTTTGACATATTATGACTGAACTTAATAAGTTTGACATTAGAAAAAATGAGACAAATATATTCAAAGCTGGTCTTTAAATTTGTAAAGTGGTGGCATATTTTAGACAACTGTTTGTAGTGTTTCGTTTTGTGTCTCTAGTATTATTTACGCTCGCTGTTCCCAGTAATTTACCTTTGATAACCAAACTGAGCGTAGGATGCGTGTCTTCCTGTATCATCTTTTGCCTGGGCCCATCAGGTCTTAACCTGAATCGGCCCATGGCTCTCTTCTTGGCCAGCTGCGCTTTGTACTGCTGCCGGTGCTCCGCTTCCTTCGCTTCGATCATGGTCAGGTCTTGCGCTTGCTTCTCTTTCATGCGTTGGTTATGACGCCATTTCATTACCTCGTTTGCGCGTTTCTGAACAATTCAGATAGAATGTTAACTGCCCGAGAATTCGGGACACAAAAACGAACCTTGTAATGTACATAGGTTTACCTCCGAAGCGACTTCAAGCACCTGATCTCCAGCTGAAGGCAATTCTCGCCAACCCTGTACTGACACGGGTGTAGACGGTGGGGCTTCTTGAATTGTCCTGCCTTCAGAGTTTTTCAGCATCCGAACCTATCGTGACAACAACCATTTTTCTCTACGAGCACTTTGATGTAAAGGGCATCTCAAGAAAAAATGTAAAGTTTCGGAGCAACAATCTGGCCATCCAGGTTTACCTGATTTAATACCAGCTGGTTCTTTCTCTGGAAATATTTAAACTCGTGTTTTCACCGAGACACCGGCTAATAAAATAAAGGCAAAAAATTTAGGGAGAAGCGAAGTGAACCTGATTTGATCCTAACAGGGAAACGTTGGCATGCGTAATGGCGAATAATAAGCGTCTTTTTTGACAGAAATGCATACAACGGGTGCGAAGTCATTTCGTTGGCATGTTTTGTAAAGTACTTTAGGTATTTCGTATTTTTGTAATTTTTCGTAGGTTAAAATCTGGAATGGGACATTCCGTATTTCGTTACTTAGAGTAGGTATAAATAAAACGACATAGGTCACGGGGTAGGTGACTATGGAACCTCACTTCGTAACGGGTACGCTAAGGATTTTTGTGACGCACCTTACCCCAACCCGAGCCGGCGACGAGCACGCAGCCGCGCCGCAACGTGCCGCGCTGCACTAACACCGTCGCTTGTTTGCTGTCAAGCAACAACGGCCACGTTAAAACGGTCACGGCCTATACTAACATCGGAACAACGGGACGGTCTAGTCCAACGTTTGCGGTCACTTGCCCGGCCCGGGAGTCCAGCCGGGCTTCCAACACGACTCCCTCGACGGGTCCGCCGGGGTCGGCCTTCAGCTCCATCAGTTGCGCCTGCAGGGTCAGCGCCTCCAGCAGCGCGTCCAGGTTCGTCCTTCGGAGGGCCGACACCGGCACCGCCTGCACGTCGCCGCCCAGCGCCTCGCAGACCAGCCCGTGCCGCGCCAGCTCGCGCAGCGCGCGCTCCTGCGGAGGGGGGTCTCGGGCAGGCTCGCGTCGCGGGGCCACCGGCGCGGGGCTGCCCCGGCACACCTACAACGTCCGCGCCCGGCTTGTCGGTTTTGGTGACCGCCACCAGCACGGGCACTGCAAGAGAAGCGGCGTCGTCAGGGCGGGCGGGCGGCGGAGCGCGCCAGCCGCCGCGGGAGCCGACCTCGCGCCCGGCGCGCCGCGGCCGCGGCCTCCAGCGTCTGCGGCCGCACGCCGTCGTCGGCCGCCAGCACCAGCACCGCGACGTCGGTGGCCGCGGCGCCGCGCGCGCGCATGGCGGCGAAGGCGGCGTGGCCCGGCGTGTCCAGGAACGTGGCGCGCTGGCCCGCCGGCAGCGACACTGCGGGGGGACGGTCAGGGTCGGCGGTCAGGGTCGGCGGCCGGGCCGGCGTCGGGGCCGGCGGCCGCGCTCACCGTCGAAGGCGCCGATGTGCTGCGTGATGCCGCCGCGCTCGCGCGCCGCCTCGCTGGTCCCCCGCAGCGCGTCCAGCAGCGTGGTCTTGCCGTGGTCCACGTGGCCCATGACGCACACCACGGGCGGCCGCGGCCGCAGCGCCGAGCGCGGGGCCGGAGGCGCCGGCGCCGCGTCTTGGCTCTGCACCGATTCGCGGAGTCACAGTACCGTTTTCGACCGCCGTCTCCCGGACGGCGTTCGCGGCTTCCTCGAACTATTTCGCAAAGCGATTTCTAACGTCGGTGTTGATGTCGTGCGTGTCCGTGCTGAAACGCCCCGGGCGAGTCGACACGACCACCCGTCGGAGTAACCTTAGCCGACATCGTCGGTGTTTTGTAGAAAAGGCGTAAGCGACGCTTCGTACGTTTCTCAGGGCTTTAGTTAATTCAGTTTCAGTTTTAAAATTAAGGAAACCTGCAGCCGTCTACGAAACATTTTAATGATGCGGTGAAGTGCCGCATTGGACGCGTGCGATAACCACAGCCCGAGCACTTGAATTGCGAGAAGAGGCCTGTGCCCAGTAGTAGGACAATATGTATATAGACTAACTATTACTATATAACATTTTGTTCCGTGATACTTAAAATGTTGTAAATTAAACATAACACGAATAAATTCTCCATCCTGTTAGTAAACCTTTTTGCTAACACACCTATGCAAGTCTGTGATTATTTCGATCTTTAATTTAAGATTTTTTTCCTTGTCACGACGACTTAAGAATCAATACATTGTTTTCTTCATCTGGACTGTGTTGACGCAACATTCCTTCACACCCTATGACAGAGCCTCTAATAGACGACATTGCTTAGTGGCTTCTTACAACCATTTCAAGACTGCATTCAGTCATGAATTCTTCTGCTTCCTGGGATGTTTTCTATATAATAGATTGCATCGCGAACGTAACATCTTTGATTTAAATAAATTTGAATATAAAAAGAAGTAGGTAAACTGGTGCAAACGTTAAATTATGGGGATACTGAAGCTATACTTCATCCAATAGTGTGACTCAAGGTTTTGCTGATCTGTAAGATTACCATATATTTACATGTGCACATACAAGCACACACACGCATACAAAAACACACGCACACGCGCACACACATTCACACACACTCATTTTAAATTTAAGTTTTACTTTCAGTTTAAAAGTACAATTTACAATTAAATTCATCTATCTAAAGTTCAATAGTGTATATGTGTAAAAATTCTTTAATTTTGTATTTCTCCTATTTTGTTTCTCTCTTACAATGTTTAATATTTTCTTAGTAATGCCATAATATATTTTGTATTATACCCAAGGGTGAAGGCCTGGTTACTAGTAGTACAGGTGTTAAGCCTTTAACAGACACCAGCTCCTACAAAAAGCTGTTAATGTTTCTTAAATTACTGAGAACCTTCTGGACGTATTTTTGTGGAGAAATAAACATATTATTATTATTATTCACGACAACTTGTGTTGTTTTTATTTTTGTCGAGATTTTCTGTGATAGAAGACTCTCTCGTCTTTTGGTTATGGGCATTGTTCTCACAATAAGCATGACTATAGAAAAACTGGAAGGTGTTTCAAATTATGGTACGTGGAAATATCAAATGAAATTATTATTGATAGACCATGGACTATGGAATTTAGCAATGGTTTCGAAGAAGCGACTGCTGATTCTTCAAAAGATCAGAAAGCATACGCAAAAATTTGTTTGAATATACACCCCATTTGCTATCCACATGTAAGAAATGTAAAGACTACTGCAGATGCGTGGAGAAACCTAAAGGCCGCCTATGAAAATTCTGACATAAGTCGAAGAATTCTCTTGAAGAAAAAACTTTCGCAAATTAAATACGAAAACTACAATTCTATGGATCACTATTTAGGAAATATTAATTCCGTTTGAATAGGACGTTAGTTGAAAAAGCCAGAGTCTTGCAGTGAAGAAACATTGGGTTGAAGCAGTAAACACTGCTTGTTATTTAAAAAATCATAGTCCAACTGCTGCTTTGACTAAAGCTACTCCTGAAATAGCTCTTCAGGTAGGACTGCTAGTAAAGTGAATCTCAGTCATCTTCGAGTATTTGGTAGCACAGCATTTGCTCTTACTCCGCAACATCAGCGTACAAAACTTGATCCCAAATGAAAACCCTATATCATGTTAGGATATTGTGCTCATACTAAAGGTTACATACTTGGTGATCCAGTTGATGGCAATAAAATTATAAAAACTCGTTCTGTTGAATTTATTGAAACGGTTAGATGTATTCAATTTAAAACTGCAAAGGACAATGAATGTTTTAAAGATTTAATTAACACTGTTGATATTACTGTAACTAATGTAAACACTTTAGATGCACATTTAAATGATTATGACAACAAAGAGTATGCTACACCAAGAGTTTTGTCTATCAATAATGAAGTTCTAGACGTCGTTGAAGAACCTGATGTTCAAACTATAGTTCCATCTGATGAACACGGAGACGCTGAGTCTTTGTTGAATAATATTTAATCACAGATGATTTATAACTACAGAATGCGTCAGGTTTTCAAATTACTGATAATTCTAGGCCTATAAATCAAGCTATAAAATCATGTGAAAAAGCGAAATTTTAATTAGAAGCTATGAAAGAAGAATATAATTCACTTTTGTCACGTAGAGTCTGGGAACTTGTTGATCGACCTAAACATGGAATTATCATTAAATGTAAATGGGTTTTCAAAGAAAAAGTTGATCCAAGTGGAAATTTTGAGAAATTTAAAGCTCGCTTCGTTGCAAAAGTTTTCACTTAGCAATATGGTGTGGATTATGAAGAAACTTTTGCACCAGTTGTTAGACATTGCACATTATGTTTATTATTTGCAATTGGAAATGAAAATGATATGGACATCGAATATTCAGATGTTAATACGGCATTCCTTAACGGAAATCTTAATGAATGGGGCAGAACAAAGTATGTTTACTCAAGAAGAGTTTATATGGACTCAAACAAGCCAATAGAGGTTAAAATGAAAAAGTGCATAAAGTTTTAACTACCAATGGCTATACGCAATTGAAGACTGAAAAATGTGTTTATTATAATCATTATAGCACTTTATGCTGATGACTTCTTCATATTCAGTTCAAATGAACAACAAAAAAGTATGCTATGTAAGATGCTCAGTTCCAACTTTAAGATCAAATTGCTTGGACCTGTAAAGCAAGCATTGGGTATGAAGGTTGAAAGGAACCGGGAGCACGGGACTTTAAAGCTGACACAGTCGGAATATGTAAAAAGTCTGTTAACAAAATTTAGCAGATTATTACGAAGTAGCGGCTCCTATGGAAGTCAATTGCAATCTGCCGAAAGCAGAAACAATCGATACGCGGTTTCCGTATCAGGGACTTATTAGTAGTTTAATGTATCTCGCTGTTAGCACACATCCATTGCATATTGCATTTGCGTGCAGTAAACTCAGCCAATATACCACTTATTATAATGAATCGCACTGCCTCGCAGCTAAACGTGTACTGCCGTGTCTTTCAGGAACAACTACCTATGGTCTCAATTTTAGGAGAGGTAATAATAAAGTTGAAATCTAATCCGACGCAGATTGGGCGGGGGATAACACTGATCGAAAGTCATATTCAGAGTTTCTGAGTAGGTTCGGCTTTTGCATCGTAAATTAGTACAGTCACAAACCACAAAACGTGGTTTGTTCTAGCACCGAAGCTGAATACTATGCTCTTGGGAGTTCTATAAAAGAGGCAAAATTCTTGAAAAAATTTTTATTCGAACACAAATACAGGAGCCTGTCACCACCAGAACCTATAACAATTTTTAATGACAACCGTAGCACATTCAAAATGGTAGAGAATGAATGTTTTAGGAGAACTAACCACATAGACGTTCATCATCACTTCATTCAAGAATGTGTTGATGATAAAGTAGTCTGTTTATAGTACAAGTCATCAACAGAGTTAGAGGCAGACCTGTTTACAAAAGCATTGCCTAAGGCAAAGCATGAGTTGATCGTAAAATCTTTGGGTTTAGTTTAGGTGACCGAACTATTATTGTATTTTGTGCTCTCGCGTCATTTGGTCAGAATGTCATTATGTACTACTCAACATATTGTTCAAGCCTCAAAAATCGCTTTTCCCAAATTGACTGATTCTCACATTGAAACTGTCAAATTTGGGTACAGTTAGTGAAACTTTATTGTAACTTAAAATTATTATAATTAATAATACAAAGATCGAACACCCAGAAAAAATTCCTCCGATCCGGCCGGATTCGAAACGACGTCTTCTAGCTGCCCGTGACAGACGGTATACCAACTAAGCCACGGAACCAACCAGCGGTACGACTAAAAAGTCGTTGAAAAACCAAATATAAAGACATGACGCAAGCACAGAGAAAAATTCGTGAGGTCCGCTGGTTCGTACCGTGGCTTAGTTGGTATAGCGTCTGCCACGGTAAGCTAGAAGACGTTCGGTTCGAATCCGGCCGGATCCAAGAAATGTTTTCTGAGTGTTCAATCTTTGTATTAATAATTATAACAAACCAGTGGAGTAATTTCACAAAAAATAATTGTATACAAATTCAATAAAAATTTAAAATTATTAACTAAACGAAAATATAAAATACTCTTCTCGAAACAAAAAAATAATTCTTTGCGAGTACTAATTAGACACTGGGTTCTCTTTTTAATAGTCGAAATATTCTGCAAAAAACTGAATTTTAGTTAGTTCGCCGGTTTGTAATTCATCCGTTTTTTATAATAACTTTCGAATAAAATGTCATGCCGTTTTCTTGTAGTAAATATATGTATGGCCTACATTTATTTTGTTTTTTTTTTTTTCATTTATTTATTTGAGTTTGGGTGTAATTTGTGGTGGTCCTATGTGTGTGTCCATGGTATCCACGACACAGGGTTTACCTAGTGCAGGGCTATGTTGAGTGTGTGCGTTATTATTATTATGGAAATCAGTAATTTTGGGAAAAGGGATTTTTGAGGTTTAAACTTAATGTCGAGTAGTACATAATGACATTCTGGGCAAACCAGCCGGAAGGGTTTTTATTACTTGATTATGATTGCTCGTGTAAGGGGCAGTGTTGGTAAACCTTTTTGCTGACACACCTACTATGTAAGTCTGTGATTATTTCGAATTTTTAAAGTGTTCCTTATCACGACGACTAAGTCAAAGTCAAAGTCAAAGATTATTTATTTCATAGGTATAATAAATTTACACTTGAAAACGTGACATTTAAGTTACTGCTCGTTCACTACGCTGACCTCTCTGAGAAGAACGAGCAAGAAACTCTAGGGATTGCTCTTTTCAAATAAACTTAAATGCTATGGAATACACTTTGAATCAAATTTGTGTGGA